ACAAGGTCAGGCAAATAAATATCCCAAAGCCATGCCATCAGCTCGAAGCAACTCTGCCCCAGCCCACTGCTCTTCCTAGGCCTGGCTCACCCCTGCACGTGGGACAAATCCTTAACCTGCTACAAAGAAACCAGCATGGGAATCCGAGGTCCACCATGTCTCAGAAAAAGGAAGAGAAATGTGAGAATACATTTCCATTTGGTTCACACTTCAGTAGACTGCATTTTTCCTGCCCCATATGCAAGGCGCAAAGGCCCTGGACCTCCCAGCCATCACCATGTGCCTGCCATGTGGCGGTTGTGTTCTCACCTGGAAGCTCCAGTTGCACCTGGGCCAGAGGACCCTGGCTGCTGGCACTTCCCCTCTGCCTGGCAACCTCCTGCTCTGAAAGGGGGTAGTGGTGCTGAAAGATTTTTTAAAATTTTACTGGATCCTGCTCAAGGTTGGTGATCTGAGCCATCTTAATCATCCTAATGAGTTTGCAGCTGTTACTTCTCGTTGGAAACATATATTCAGTGCTATCCATAAAGTGTTGGTTTCCACACAGGGTGCTTACGAGACAGGGGCTCTATCCCCAGGGTGACAATAGGGAATGAAATCTGTTCCCAGGGCCCCTTGTTGGCACTGCAAGAGCACGGAGAAGAGCCCCCACATTTATAGGGGATTGCTTCCACCTGCGGGCATTTCCTTAATGCTCCTCCCTTCACTTCTTCCTTCCATTCTCCCTCCCATCTTCCTTCCAGTCCTTCTTCCTCTCTACATCTTCTCTGTTCTCCTCTATCTCTTTTCTTTCTTCGTTTCTCTCTTTCCTTTCCTTCTTTCTTCTCCTCCTCAAACATTTATTGAGCACCTACTTAGTATGAGGCATGACATTAGGGGGATGTTGTGGAGGGAAGGGATACAAAAGTTGATAGAATCTGGCCTCTTTTCAGGAGCAATTTACCAAATTGAGTCATAAAGAGAGAAAGCAAAGTTGTCCACAAATGTAACTGTCCCAAACTCCCACAGAGAATCCACTAAGTGTCACAAAGTGAATCCGGGGAAACTGGGGTGTTGCCTTAGAAGCTCAAATGCATTTGGGGGATCAGAGACGCTGTCCTGCCAGGCATAGCATTTGAATTGGTCCTCAAGGATGGGTGCATCCCTGGATTCTCCACATCCAGAAATGGATTTTTCCTTCTCTAATGTCCACAGCACTTCATCTTCTCCTCCAATGACATCTGCGTGGCTCTGGCAGCTCTCTGGGTGCCTTTCCTCTCCTCCCAAAGGCAGCCCTGGCTGCCCCCTCCTGCTATGGCCTCTGGGCCTTGATACCCTCAGACTCACAGAGAACTGAGATCCCTACCTCTAGGGGTTTCAAATGCAATGCAATATGGCCGGCATAGACTTTTATATTCAGGAAACACAGACAAGATAGTATACATTTTGAAAATGGACTTTAAAATGTCAGCCATATATATTATATCAACAGAGAGAGAGAGGTGCAGTTTTTAAAAGGAGATAAAAATACCTCATGCGTATAGTTTCCAAAGAGGAATGGTGCCCTTTGGGAGGATTTGGGAAGTAGCCTTGAATCAGTCAGCCAGTCTGGGAGAGCTTCATGGAGGAAAGTGGGCTTCAGAGACTGACAGGACAGCTTGAGCTGCAAGGTTAGGATGGGAGTTTAACTGGGCATGCGGCACCCACTAGACTGGGGTTCTCTGAGGACAAAGATGGTGCCTCAGACTCTCCTGTTGCTCCAGTAGCCAGTCTGAGGACTGGCACATGCATAAACAAGCTCTGAAGGAATCATATGGGAGAAAGCTTACTGGCAGGGCAAGACAGTCAGGGAAGTGGAGAGTGACAATAATCAGAAGGGGCTGGAAAGATGGGCTGGGACAGAGCATAGGCAGAGGGAGGCCAGGCCACGAAGTCACCCTTGCAAAGGGCTTTGAGAAAGGGCATTCACAAAGGCAGCCAGCCTCAGGTTTTAAGGAATTTGATGCCCTGTCGGGGCTTTGGGTGGGGAAAATCCAGATGATTGACCTCATGCGCCTAGAAGATGCTCTGCCCATGTAGCACCCCTGTGACTTTGGGCAGGTCCCCTCACCTGCATTCCCTCCTCCTCTTGTGGTCTGGCTCCCTGGGAACCCATGGTGTTGATAAGGTCAGAACAGAGTGCGGTGGGTGACTTGGGGGCAGGAAAAGGAGGCTCTGGTCATCAATGAAGGAGGAGAAAACAAGGACATGCACCACGGAACTGACACTGGGACCATCGAGAGAGAGGTAACAAGCTATGAAGTCTGACAACTGATTCATTTTTCGAGTTGAGACTAAAATAAGAGGAGATAACAATAGTAGCCATTTATTGGGTGTTTAATGTGTCCCTGGTGCCACATATACATTATCTACCTGATAAGACAGGTATTATTATCATCCCACTTTATAGATGGGGAAACTGAGGCTTAGAGAAGTAAAATGATTGTTCAAAGTTAACCCTGTTAGTAAGTGGAAGAGCTAAAATTTGGAGACTTGATTTTTTACTCTTGCTAGAGCTTTTGGCCATTGCTTTATTCTGTCTCCCGTAAGCAGATTCACTCGTGTGGCTTTATTTGGATTTTAAATGGTGACATATCATGGTTCTTCACGAAGTGAAGATGGACAGGCACCTGCAGTGCTCAGGGTACATTGTGCCAGGAAAGCAAGAACCTTGGGAAGGAGAGCTGGGGATATGCCATCAGAAGAAAGTGAAGAATAGGAGACTTTCTCATTTGTAAAGCACTTTCACAGCTTTTGCCTTAATCTATTCTCATGACAGCCTTGGAAGAGGCATGAATTTTTTTAAAAAATCCCCATTTTCCAGTTGAGAAACCTGAGACCTGGAGAGGTGAAAAGAATTGCCCAGAGTCATCTAAGTGGTACATGGCAGGAGAGCGGAACCTGGTTCTCTTTTCCCTGGGCTCTGCTGTTTGTCAGGGTTGAACATGAGGTCCCCAGAGGAAGCCCACGTTGCTGGAGGGTTAGAGGGGAGGGGGACAGAGGAGGTACAGCTGGGGTCCTGAGAGCTGAGGTGAGAGAAGTTCTGAGGCACATGACCTCATCTTCAAAGTCCCAAGTAGAGCAGCGGGCTGGGGCTGAGGGTCTGAGAGAGGCATAGCCTGAAGTCCAGAGCTAGAGGACAATGCCAATGGCCAGGAGCCCGGAAATGAATGGGCCACCTCAAACGGAGTGCTCTGTGGGGTGCCCACTCCAGAATCTAGGAGGTAAGGAGAAGGTCCAGCAGGAATCACGGGTTTGGGTCTCTGCCATTCCTGACTCCCTGGTGCCTCAGGCATTGAGGGGCAGGATGCCTGGAGGCCACGGGCTGCAGTGGAAGGAACACAGGCTTTGGAGACAGATTGCTCTGGATTCAACCCCTGGTTTGATCACTTCCTGCCTGTGATTTTGTGTCTCAGTTGCCCTTTCCATAAAATGGAATAGCAGCTTTTTTTAGTCATGAGATATGAATAAGTGAATGCATATTCACAATATCAAATGACTCATTCATTTCGTGAACTCAACACGTGCCAGCACTGTGCTAGGATAGTTCTGCGGGCCATGCAGACAAGGTCCCTGTCCTCTGGCAGTTTACTTTGGTGCCCAGCACAGCATAGGCCCCTACAAGCACCATTTCATTCCTCCCATCTGTAAAGTCACCCGATTTCTTTCCTGCAGTGCGTGGCTCCATGCCAGTAATCAGGAAGGAGAAAGGGGTGAATCAGAGAAGAAGAACCTAAACTTTGTTCTGAGCCCACAGTTCCTGAGCTAAGCAGGAGCCAGAGGTCAGCAAGGTGAGGCTGGGGGCTAGGGACCAAAGTGGAGGATTGGCACGTCATATTCCTCCTTATCTGACTGCTCTTGCACCAGAGCCCAGAGAGTTTGACAATGATGATCTCACTAGTGTTCAAAGCTTCCCGAGGGAGGCCAACAGCAAAGCAGAAAGCACTGGAGTGTGCTTGTGTTGACAGCTGCCGGATCAGAGGGCCTGGCTTGGGATCACAGGCTGCGGGGGTGGTGAAGCAGTGTGCAGATTCTGAAGCCTGGCACCCCCACCCGGGGCCCCAGGAGCCAGGTTCACCCACACAGAAACTCAAGGGAGGCTGCGTTTCCTAATCAACAGCCTGTACCGTGTGGTAGATGCTTTTCCTGTGGGTCATCTCTTCCAATTCTCCCAAGCCTGCAAAGAGAGATTATTGTTCCCATTTTCTAGATCAGAAAACTGAGTCTCAGAAGAGTGAAGTAGCCTGCTTAAGGGCGCATGTGTTCATCATAATAGGTGATATGCAGGTTCCCCTCCCTGTCTCCATCACACACACACACACACACACACACACACACACACACACACACTGCAATGACTGTCTCTCCAGGCTGGCTAACAGTGGACCAAGATGACCCCATCCTTACCTGCATCCTGCATCAGTCCACCTGGAGCAGGCAGCAGGGATAAAGGTGGGGAGGGGTGGGTCAAGGAGTCAGACTACAGGCACCCCTTTGGCTCAGGGCATAGAGGGAGTTCAGGACATATGGAGCACCTCCTCGCCCAGGTTCGTTTTCCGGGTCTGCCTCTGTACCAGACCTCTCTCCTTCCTCCTTTTTGGCATCCTCTTTGGATTCATTTTCTCCTCTCCTTTTATTTCCCCTTCTCTGTTTCCTGATTCACCCCTTGCTATCTTTTCCAGTCTTTTCCGTTCCTCTCTTCAGTCTCTCCCTCTCCCTTTGCTTCCTTCCCCTGGACTCCCCTGGCTCCTTCTACCTTTCTCATCCTCCCTCGTGTTTTCCTCTCTTTGTCTCTTTGATCTCCTTCCCTCCTTTTCCGTTTGTCTCTCCCAAGCCTGCGCCCCTCCCCGCCGCTCGCACCCTCCCGCGCGCTCCTCCATCTGCGCAGCCAACCCTCCCTCCGCCCCCTCGGCCCCACCCTCCCTTCGCCAGCCTCCCCCCTTCCCTTCTCCGCGCTCGCTCTCCGTGATTTATTACTTGCCCTGCTGCTTCTGACAAACTATTTGTAGGAAAATGAGATTTGGTCCGCGCTGGATGGCTCCTCTGGGAGGCAGGCGTGGGGGTCGGGTGTCGCAGGCCCCGTGCGCCCCCCACCCCCCACCAGAGCCCACGGCGCTTACGGAGCTCTTTAAGATAAATGAGCAAAATTAAGAGACTCACTGGGGGAAGAAAACACTGGATGGGAGCGAGCGAGAGCGGATGGTACTTGGTTTCCTCCCAGAAATGCATCCACGTGCGCCCCACTGGGGCCTCCCCCATCTGCTGCAGACTCCAGGGAACTTCCTCCCCTCAAAGACGAACTTCCAGCCCTGGAGCATGTTTCTTCCTTCCCTGGGATGTGGCGCTGAAAAGGGCAGAAACCTCTAGTAAGGCACAAGCAACAGATTGAGGGTGGAGCAGCAGGTCTCTTTGGAAGTGGCCTGGAAGAAACCGGACAGAGAGGATAGGAAGGGGAGAAACAGAAGAGTATGACGAGGTGGGTGTCCGAGGGCAGTGGGACAGGCTGTCCGGGTGGGAGAGTGGACTTGAGGAAGTAGCTGCAGGCCCAGACTACTTCAGCCACACCCTGATCCCCTGGGACCTCAGTAGCTTTCTGCGAGGGTCCTAGGCACCCTCAGGGCACAGGAGGCAGTGCTGGCTCCAACTTCAGTCCAAGGAGCTGTGGAAGCCTCAGAGGCCCTTGGCAGAAGTGAGCCCTCATTTCTCACCTCAAAGGCAGGGATTTAAGTTTTCTCTTGTCTGAGTGGCAGAACTATAAGTTGTCAGAGGGCAGGTAGTGGGTCTTTGGTTTTTCTGCAATACCACAGGGCTAGCTTACCTTAGGCCATAAGTATTATTTGTTGAGATGCATGAATACAAGAATGTCTTGTAAGCTCTAGGCTCAATTTTCAACTCCCGCAGATGTGCAATGAAAACAATTTTCCAGACTACTTTTTTTCCCTCTTATTTTGAAAGCAATACACCTATTTTTTCCATTGAACATTAAGACAACAGAGATACGCAACATAGAAGAAAAAAAATCACCTGTTATTCTACTATAAACAGTCTGGAATTTATCCTCAATCTCAAAATACATGTGTTAAAAAAAGGTCATATTGTAAACATTGTTTTGACCTGCTTTATTTCATTCAGTGTTAAATTGTAAATACTTTTTTATATCATATTAAATATTTTTTCTATAACAAAATTCTAAGTGGTTACAGTGTTTTATTATAGGTTTGTATGGTCTATGGATGGTTACTTTTTTAACAAGGCACAAATTTTGGTCATTTTGATTGTTTCTAAATTTTTGATATTATCAAGATTTCCTCTTTTGCATTATTCAGATCATCTTTTTTTTTAAGACGGAGTCTTGCTGTGTCGCCCAGGCTGGAGTGCAGTGGCATGATCTCTGCCCACTGCAAGCTCTGCCTCCCAGGTTCACGCCATTCTCCTGCCTCAGCCTCCCCAGTAGCTGGGACTACAGGCACCCGCCACCAGGCCCGGCTAAGTTTTTGTATTTTTAGTGGAGACGGGGTTTCACCATGTTAGCCAGGATGGTCTTGATCTCCTGACCTCATGATCCACCTGCCTTGGCCTCCCAAAGTGCTGGAATTACAGGTATGAGCCACCGTCCCCGGCCCAGATCATCCCATTTTTAGCATAGTCAGTGTCTTAGTCTGTTTTGTGTTGCTATAACGGAATACCATAGCCTAAGTAATTTATAAAGAAAAGATTTTTTTGTTCTTACTGTTCTGGAGGCTGGGAAATCAAAGGTTGGGGGGCTGCATCTGGTGAGGACCTTCTTGCTGCATCATTCTATAAGGGAAAGAGGAAGGGGAAGAGAGCAGAAAGGAGTAAGAGAGAAAGTGGGGCAGACTCATCCCTTTTATCAGAAACCTGCTCCCTCAATAACTAACTCCCATGATAACACCATTAATCCATTAATGAGGACAGAGCCCAATAACCCTTAGGACAGAGCCCAATAACCCTTAAATATCCATTCTCTTAACACTGTTACATTGGAAATTAAGTTACCAACACTTGAACTCTGGGGGACACATTCAGACCATAGCAGTTAGTTATAAAAGTGTGATTTATGCTTTTTCCTGGTTTCATAAGCATAAGATGTGACATATTTTAATAGCTGACAATTCTACAAGACCTGGTCTGACTTCCTAGCCTGGATCAGCCTTTCTAGAACTTTGTAGATTTTCAAAGACCACCAGTGCTGCCAGCCAGGGCAATCTGGAATGTTCTGGAAGCAAAGGAAGTGGATATGGCTTCAGCCATAAGAATCAAAAAAGATATGGTACTTAAAGAAAAGGATTATTCAGTTGAAATCTTCCTAAAATATTCACAGAACAAATGTGCGTCAAGTTATAATAATGGGTGATGGTACCTCTGATTGGTGTTAAGTATGTTATGTGAGGATACCAATTTCAAAGCATATTAAAATGTAAAACTTGAAAATGGTGGAGTCATCCTAAATATTATTTCATAAAATACAAGTAGAGAAGAAAAAGAGGATTTGAGCTATAAAGATATGAAAGAAAAATATTCAAAATTATGTGACCTCACACAGGTAACCCTTTCAAGTGACTGGGCACTTTTCAAGTGGAAGCTTTCCTCCCTGCCTTGAAAACAAGGATGTGTGACTGGTGTCCATTTGTCTGTCTGTCTGTCTGTCTGTCTAGAGTGTGTGGTCTCAAGAAGACTGGAAGATGATGCAAAACACTTTGATCATTTGTTCTCTGCATTTGTGCTGCCATTCAGCACTTGCATACACTGTACTGAGACTTCTATTGACACAACTCCTCCAGTCAATGTATTTCTTGGAGGACACCTTACTTACTTGTTCTGAACTTCAGTATCCTGGGTCTCTGAGTGGCTCTGTAGGGCAGTCACGGTGGGAGGGTAGAGTTCACAAACTATGTTCAATATTTGGAAAGGACTGATTACCTACAGTAAAGTGACTTGGGCTAGTAAAATGTCAGGTTTTTTTGCTTTGGGTTGATTTATAACAACTCAATTTGGGAATACATACTATCTGGAATGGATTGCTCTGATTGGCATTTTTCTAGGTCCTTGATTTATAAATGAAAGGGAGAACTGATTGTTCAATAAATACAGTCTATTTTTCCTAATTATGTAGGAAACCATATATTTGTAATAAAAGGAGTATTTGATGGAACGAGTTCAGGAAGAAGAGTGTAATGTTCAACTATCGTTCTCTCTACTCCCCAGATGCCATTGCGGTAAAAGTTACCCAAAGACGAGAAGATTCCGTTGATCCTGAAGTTGAAGTATGGTGGGAATTTTCTAGAAAAATCCATTCAAGTCTTTTTCTGTCCCAGATCATGAAGAAAAGAGGGAGCATTTATTGAATGTAAGGTGGAGCCAAAGGCATCTATTGATGACTGAAGAAGAGGCATGAACATGACAAAAACAGGAACCTAGGCCAAAAAAGATGATTCACAGATGATTCAACTTGGAGGCCCCTACCTTATTTTATTAGTAAAAAAAGATGTGGTGGAGAGTGTATGGGGTGAGAAAAGAAATTAAAACACCATGATCCTTTTAATACAGTCCAAGATTTACTCTGCAAAATCCAGTCATATTTTTGACAGTAAATTCATAGCTCCTCTGTCCCCAGTAACAGAACGATGATCTTTATGGGGCCGGCGTGAGGAAGCTGGCGGGCACGGCCCCCGCCACATTAAACTGTCTCAGTGAAGAGGCAATTTGTTTGATATTAAGAGTTATAAAAATATCAGCACAGAGTGGTTATGCCAGGGATATTGCACAAGCCAATCTGAATTTTAATGTAGTGTGAGCAATAAGCACCGCATTCCCTGAGCTCCTGCCACACTCCCTCTGCAAATATTTGAAGAGAAAAAGACAGAGGTTTTGAGTGTCTTACTCTTTTCCACTTGTGCTACATGCGGGCTTGCTCCTCACCAGATGTGTGGGAGCTGGCAGGGGTTTCCAGGTGCCTGGAAGGGGGGTTCTCAGGAAGCCCCACACAGGAGATCCAATGGCGTCCCTGGCATCGTGTGCAGAGAGAATGGGGTCGGCTTGCTAGCACCTCTGTTCATGTCCCTCAGTCACACAAGCAGTCATCCAGCAGCCAGGACTCAGCTCCTCCACCCAGTGTCTCCTGATTTTCATCCCAAGTATTCTTTAGTGTCTTAGTCCAATGAATGCCATTCACCAAGCATTCCACTCCCCTCCCCATCCTCTAAGTCCACCATAAAATGCCCTTCTTATCTTCTTACTGTGCCCCCATCACACCCTGTCTCTTTAGCCCATAGGTGTACACTGTGACCTCTCCCCTCAGGCCCCTTCCGTCAGTTTTCTCATTATTTCCCTTTACCGCCATTCCTCTCCCTTCACCTCCCAGTCACCTCTTCCCAGCCTCTTCTCCCATAAATATCCATTTAACCTTACAGATAGATCTTTCTGAAACATGCTAACCAATTAATTTCGCTTCCACAGGGTGCCTACTCTGTGTCAGGCATTGGGCTAATGGCTGAAGGAGACATAAACATGAATAAGACCTGGTGGTCTCTGCTCTTCAGGGACTCACAGTCCAGTTGGGAGGGGGAGTGGGGGTGCCAGAAGTGGTGGGGTTGCCAGACAAGGATTCTGGTCATTTTTACTCTGAGGGCAGAGTGAGATAAGATCCCCAGGAGAGGTCCAAACACAGGCAGTAAAGGGCCTAAGAAGGAGAGATGTGTCTGAAGAGGGGAAATAGAGAACTTATCACGGTGGTTACTGGCTATGCCTTCAAGAAGGGGTACAGTTGGCAGGTGGCAGTTGGAGAACTGGGCAGAGAAGAGTCTATCTTAGGCAGAGCAGAGAAATGCTCTGATGGGGAAATTCATGGGGAATTGTTAAGAAATAGTGAGTCATCCAGCTTGTCTGACAGGGCTCAGAGAAGTTCAGGGACATGCCCAAGCTAATGAAAAGGTGAGTCCGATATAGCACACGGTTTGTCTGATTCCCAGTTCAGAATGCTCTTCGTTACACCACAGCAGTAATTCTCAAGGTGTAAGCCTGAGACTCCTGGACTCCTTGAGATCCTTTCAGGGTGTCTGGGAGGTCGATGCTGTTTCAAGATCGTTTGCCTTGCCTTTCTTATTTACCTCCGGGTGTACAGTGGGGCTTTTCACTGTGCATTTGGAGGATCTTTGTGACTCAGTGAACCAACATTTTCCAAGTGACCAGTGAACAGTGCATGATGTTACAAATCATGCATTGGTGAATCATCTGCTCAAGGCTTCTCTCTCTCTCTCTCTCTCTCTCTCTCTCTCTCTCTCTCTCTCTCTGTCTCTCTCTCCTGGCTCCTGCTCTCATTCTACCCACCTCCATCACAGCAGGCATATCCATGAATCCTTTCATCTGGAAGTTTCCTTCCTTCCCCTTTCACCCAACTTCGTTTCTGCAGCACCTTCCACTGCACACCCTCACTCCCTTCCTTCCCAGATTCCAGATCTAGGCTACTTACATTTCTCAAGCCAGCCTCCATTTCTCCATCTTCTGTTATCCCTCAAACTCCCTCTCTAATACAACATTCTTTCACAGGCATGGTCTCTGTTTCTTCTAGAGTTTTTGGAGGCTATCTATGCTTCTCAACTTTGGTCACCGGGTTCTCAAAAGTTCTTATTTGCTGCTGCAATGATAGATAAGTGTTCATGTTTGTGAACCATGCTCATCACTTTTGAAGTTATGAGAGACTCTTCTGAACCTCCCAGCCCAGTCTCAGGTCCAACTTCATGCAAAGGAGGAGGGGTGTCCTGGCTATGATGGAGGGAGCACGGGCTTGGAGACAGGCAGACCTGGTGCAGAGCCAGCTTTGGCCCAGTCTAACAATGTTTGTTTAACCAAGTCACTCCATCTCTCTGAGCATTAGGCCCTGATTTTATTGAGTCAAGATAATAATACTTGCCCTGCAAAGTTCTTATGAAAATTCAATCAGAATTTACACATATGGCAGACAGTAAGTGTTCATGTAGATTCACTATTATTATCAGAAAGAGACATGATGGCAATCAGTGAATGTGAGTGTTTATTACAAGGCAGTTCATTATTTGTCTTGATTATTACAAATTAAACTATAACCTAAATCACTAGTTCTCCAACTTTCACACACAGCAGAATCACTTGGGCAGCTTGTTGAATATAAGGAGGTCCCAGAATTTCTGATTCAGTAGTTTATGAGTAGAGTCTTCACATTTATAATTTTAATGAACTGATGTACACCAAACACTGGCCCATATATTTTCTGAATTTTCTGGAATCTTAAATTTTCCCACTGTTTAATGAGATTATTCAATTCTTAAAAACCTACACAGCTTGTGTTTGATGATGTTTATTAATGTCTCACAGGTTTTCATTCATTCTTTCATTCATTGACTCACATGGATTCTTTGTATTGAACTACTGGTTGCAATATCTCACCAAGCTGTCCTCTGCATAACCCACTAGGCCCTGCCTCCCACCCCTTCCGTCTTTCACAGAGCATGGTGTGCAGTGGAGCCAAGAGACCTTGGGCACTTTCTTTAATACTATCAAACCTCTATTTCTTTGCTTTTGCAGTGAGGACAGCACAATCTCATGGGGACATTGTGAGAATCATCCAGGCTAATGTGTGTGGGGGCTTTCTGTGATGTGCCACCCAAATGCTACTTCTAACCATTTTCTTTTGTGGAAAGCCCAGGTGCTTATTCGTGTAAAAGAGGGATTGGACTTGCCAGTTTCTGAGGCTTCCAGTATTTTTATACTTACTCAAACCCTCCATCACTCCAAGGACAGTGCTGGCTCAGGACAGGCTGAGTGGACACCAAAGTCTGGCCTCTCCTCCCCTTCCCATTCAATCCTGACCGAGCAGAACCTGCACTGTCTATACTCAGCTTTTGCAAATATGCTTAATGCTTTGCAAGCCTGTTGTCTTTTTCTTTCTTCCTACATAATTGTTTGGACTTGCTTATATACCTTGAGTGGAGAATTCTTTATATAATCTAAATGCTTCTTCACCTCACTACCTTGGATACAATGAGGTCACAGGGAACTGTGTGCTTGGCTCCTGGGACTGGAGAGGTGTGGCTAGGAACTGGAGGCTACCCCCCTCTGCCATCCTCCTGTGGCTCCTCCTAGCCATCTCAGGTGGTACTCCAGGGTTGCCATGTTGCTTTCATGAATTTCTTTTCTGTGCCTCTTGCTTCTTGTCTGTGTCCCCATCATCACTCTGCTCAGGCTGCCCCTTGAAGAGTGGCCACCACCACTTTCTCTGGACAATTATTAGCTGAACATCTACAGAATGGGAAGGGAAAGGCTTCTCTCTTCCTTTGTGACTTCTTTACAGAGATGCCTGAGCTCCAAGATGTTCCAACTCTTTTCACTTTGCATACACACGACCTTTTCTCTGCAAGGAGGCTCAAGCAGTGTTGGCCTCATTCTATGCAGAAACATTTCCGTTTACTGCTCAGGTCCTGTTTCCAGATTGGTTCATAATGGTGGCTTCTTTCCCTCAGGATCTGTCTCCTGAAGTTCCTCACTGCAATTTGGCTTTCTTGAAGGCATTGCCAATGTCATCAGACATGTCTGTATATGTCTAAATCCCAAATTGTTTGTTTGTTTGTTTGTTTGTTTTTTGGAAGCTTCCCAGCCCTGCATAAATCAGTTGGCACAAATAGACTGAGGAGTGTGGGGTGCAGGAAGCCCAAAAGCTTATCCGGGACATAGAGTTATACCCAGAAAGCATGCTAAGGTGGGCAAAATCCTCTCTGCCATTCTTCATGTGAGAAGCACCTATAGGTAGGATTAGGTAATTAGAGTTTTCACTGAAGGTGGATGGTGAAGAAAATGGCCTGCCCTGCCTATGTGAAGAGTTATCGTTTCTTTCTTTGTCATTTATTTATTTGGGAAATAGCACCATAGGGTCAGCACTGAAGAGAGCAGGAAGCTTTGAAGTATTTTCAGGAGAGTGATGAAGGAGAAACCAGGGAGCACAGAATCAGGAGAAGGCAGTAGGTGGATGAGGCCAAGACCCTCCGCCTCCTGCAAGCAGGCTGTGGAGCTCAGCAGTGAGCTCCTGTCATGGGCGCTTCCCCAGCTGTTGTGTGGAAGTCACTCAGAGAACAGCTAAGGCCCAGAATCAGGAGAAAGGGAAAAGGAGTGAGGGTGTAAAGGTAGTGGAGAGGGGTAAAGTTTCTAGATTGGTTTTGGGGATGCAGTAAACTTGATGAATTGAGAAGGGCCTCCAGTCTGTCCTCAGAATTACTGCAGTAATTGCAAAGGTACGATAGACACAGAGGATCCTTCTCCTCAAGGAAAAGGAGATGTGGGATCCTTTACTCATCCTTCATCCCACACTCACTGAGTGCTCTCTGTGACATTCACTTTCAAGCCCTTCTCTGTCAGGGGACTGGCAGGACCTGCACTTGACTTGTGTTGGTGCAAAGTAGGAAGGAAGACTGCCCACTGGTGCTTCCGGTGCAGAGTCCAAGCCTGGATCAGGAACTGCTGTGAGAAAAGAGAGTACAGGGACTGGGAGACCTTGCTGAGAAAGAACAGACAGGA